AGAAAGTAGACTTTCAGGTGAGGGTGCTCTTAGGTCTCAATCATGCAGGCTTAGAGAACAGTTGCCAATGCCTAGTAACCACAGTTCACTAGGGAAAAATTAGGGTTCCCTAACTAACTGCGAGTGCTTGTCGGCAGTCGCAAGTGGAAATTGATTGTTAACCCTGTTCATGCAGTCATACTGATGGCTAGTTACCCCCTAATTGGAAGGGGAAAGGGTGTATTCTCTAACCAGTTGGTGATTGATTGCTGGGGGTTGCTTGTTGTTGCTAGGTTGTAAAGTATATGGTGCCCTACCGAAAACCTCCTTGTCATTGCTTTGGTTCTGAGCAGATTGTAACTTTTCATGTTTCATTCAAACCAGAAACTCAGAAAATTTGCCTTCAAAGTAAAAGTTGTTGGTTTCAGTTTTAAAACTACAGTTGCACTAGGGATAAGGTTACAGACTGTAGCACAACCAAAATTATGACAACTGTTGGCATTGAACTTGCAGTGGCTAGTTGAAGACTGGGAAGCTACATCCAGATGAACAGAGTCAGCTGTCTGGACTTTTCTTACCTGGATAACTGAGCGCTGAACGAGGACAGACCAAAGCAATCGCAGAGAGGATTTTGTTGCAGCTGACTTCATGCAATGATAGCCAGCAACCTCATCAAATATGTCAAGAAATAGATGATTTTCCTTTGAAACCTGTCAGGGGTTGCTGACCAGTCTCTAGGCCTGTGTGACTGTAGCCTTAAAGAGAAAGTTAGGGACAGAAGATAAACTGAGGGACCTCTGTGAAATATTAAGTATATCTGAACTGTGAGCCATCCATAGCTACTCTAATACAGTGCGCCAATAAAATCATAGAGCTGGAAACAAGCATAGTAGGTCCTCTTTAACAATGTATGTGGAAACTGTGTTAGAAACCAGAAGCACTTGGATTGTTTTACATATTGGAAATCTATAATGTAAAAATCAATATCTTTGCTTGTAAAGCTAACCATCAGCATCGGTCGCCTCCCTAGAGTTCAGAGGCTCTGCCTCATTAAGATCGACCCAGTATGGAAATGGATCAGACTAAAATAGCTTCCTTTGGGGAGCTTACCCATGCTGATGACCTCTAAGCAGTCACATACTACAGTAAAATGATCCTTCCTGTATTGAGAAATGTTTTGTGTCACAGGAAATGCAGTATACGTGTAGTAATTTCAGTAAAATATCAGTCTTGTGCTTTATATTAAAAGAATAATATTAAATTTGGGGATTTACTTCCTGGAAGGTTAGTGAGACGATTGGTACCATTTTTAATAAAGCGGCTAGTTAGCTTAATTTAGCTAATCTTATAAAACTAAAAGTTGTTTTTATTCTTTAAATATTTAACAATCTTACATTGTTAATGTAATTACAGTTAGGATACTGTGTAAAATGTGAATATAGACAGAATACAATGATTTGTAAATCTCACATTGATATTTTATTCACAGTACAACAGAGAAAACATACAAAGTTTAAACTGAGAAATAAAAATATTAGCTTAAATTGAATTTGATGGTAGCAACATGACACAGGGCAGTGTTTACTGCTGTGCAGCATCCCCTCTGCTTTAGCAGTCTATAAATATCTGTAAACTGAGGAAACTAACTTTTAGACTTTTGGGAGAGTCCATTTACTTCTGAGAAACTCTGCCCGTCTATAATGGTACATTTTCTCAGTTTAAACATATTTTTCCTATGTAAAGAAATGAGAGTTTATGAGATTTGTAAGTCATCATATGTTTTTATTTACATTTTATGTTGTGTCCTAACTTTTTTGCTCATAAAGGAAAGGGCCTTTAGTCTTTAAAGCTGCTGGTTGGTGGATTTTGTTTCTTTTGAACTCAGCCAGGCTAGTATTTTATTCCTTTTTACCCATTTTGTCTATTAGCTGTAAGCTAGCTTAATGTTTTAAAGTAAGACTAAAAATAAAGCTGGGTAAAAGGCTTTGTGAAAAGCTACAAAAGGTATTTTGAAAATCCACCAGCACCCTTAAAGCTCTTTTTTTTTTTAAAATCTTTAATTAATATAAAATATGTTTTTTGTTTTTTTTTTTATCAACAATATAGCTAACTAAAGCTAACTATCTGCTGGCGGAAGCTTAGCATGCTAATGTGAGTGTGGGGTCAACTTTTTTTTTTCTTTTTTTTTTAGCTCAAATCCAGCAACAATGCAACTACAAATTGTCTCAATTTAAGTGATTATACGCCGCTTTTGAGGTTTTTAGCATTAGTTTTAAGGTTATTGCTTTCTTATCATCTGTTGAACTACCTCTGTGAGCTTAGCATTTATTCAAAAATAAATAATATCAAAACTTATCATCGCTGAGCAGTAGGAATGTAAGTATTATTGGGAAATGGTAAAAAGTTGTGGAAGTTTGATCAAGACTAAATGCCAGTGAGGGATAGTGGTTTCAGATACTTTGAACATTGAGTCCCACTATACCTGCAGGTGTAACTACCCTAAAGTGCTTCCTACAAAATTAATCTAATGTTATATTATCCACCTGAAGAGAAAACATCAGTTTGCCTTTTCCTTTGCTTTATTTATTTATTTATTTATTTTTAGGAAATCAGATATATCAGAAAATATATTTGTACTGCTGTAGATAAACTATATTTAAATGCCTGTATTGCCAAAATGCTTTATTTATCATATTGTTGTCTGCTATATGTATACATATATATATATATAGTCTGCGGTTATTCCAAAGTAGAGTGTGTATATATTGATTATTATAATGCTTGTGCCATAACTGTCACGCTGTCATTACTCTTGGTCACAGCTGAACATGACTGTTGTTGAGTTCCCTGTAATATGCATATTTATATGTATTTTGTTGTGTTGTGACTGTTAGCTGTGGATTTGATTGCTTCTCTGTTTGCAGGTGTTTTCAAACCTCGTTTTGACGGACTTGCACTGGTTTTGTGGCTCTCTTGTTGTTTAAGTTAGCAAACAGCAGGAAATCATGGTACCAGATTTTCTGTTCTTGTTCACGTCCAAAGGCTTTTTATCTTGCTGAGTATCGCGAACCCCAGAAAACCTCCCCTTTTCCTGCTCAAATAAATGCTTCCTGCATCCACCTGCAGAATGTAAACCGTGTGATATTTTATAGTCTTTAAAGTTTTGCACTCTCATCTTATTCTAACCTGCTTTAACGTGTCAGGTTCTACCTGGCTATCCTTGAACATGCTTCAGCTGTGCTCTGAATAAAGAGACAAATGTGATTATCCAGCTGGTAGCAGACAATTTGGAGGTCGTTTATCTATTTATTCATGTGTTGGTCAATCCATGTGTCATAATGTGCATTTGTTGTGTCTATGAATGGATTTTGTTTTTTTTTAATTCGGCAGCAGTCATGCTGTTTATCAGGTTAAGAAACATGTTTTGGGCTGCTGCCTTAGTGGTGACTGGCTTGTGACCCCCCCTGAGGATGAGTGTCTCTCCTCCTGGTCTCAAACCAGAGATCTTTAAGGCGTGGGGGAACTCCAGGCCTGAAGGGCCGGTGTCCTGCAGGTTTTAGATGTGTCCTTCATCCAAAACAGCTGATTCAAATGGCTAAGTGACCTCCTCAACATGTCTTGAAGTTCTCCAGAGGGCTGGTAACAAACTAATCATTTGATTCAGATGGGTTGACCTAGGGTGATATCTAAAACCTGCAGGACACCGGCCCTTGAGGCCTGGAGTTCCACCGTGCCTGCTTTAAAATATGACTGCTTCACCTGAGCCTTTCTAGAGTAAATTTGAAAGAGTGTAAACTTACTGACCTTTGCTGGTCATAAGCAGGAATTGCTATTGTGAAATAATCCATAGGCTTTTTTTATTTATTTATTTATTTATATAATAAAAAATACATTTTTTTTTAACCCTTGAACCCTAATGTGCTTTTTTTTTGTCACTAACATTGGGCCTATTTTACTTGATATACTGTTAAAACATACTTAACATCAACAGTACTCTCCTTTCTCTACGTAACCTCTATGCAACGTCTCAAAACAAAATAAAGGAATCATGGCGGGACCCTCCAGGCTCTAATGCACCGCAATGAAAATCACGTAGCTAATATCACGTTGGTGAAAATTACCTGACGTTAGTGTTCTCGGGTTGAGACAGATGCTTTTTTGTTTTTTTTGTTTTTTTTGTTGAACGTTTTTAAATTAAAGTTTCAGTCTTATTTTCTGTCATTTGTACTAACATTACATTTAGTGATCTGACTGCCTGTCTGCATGGTAGATTAGATTGATATAAAGATTAGATATAAAACCTGTAAAACATGTTTTCATCCATTGTCTCCATCCTGCATTCTTTCTACTCCTGTGCCTATAAAAATCAGTCATTCTACAGACATCTGTGACAAAATTGACCCTGCTTCTCATTCAATCTCCTGCTTCATAATCACAAAACTATCAGAAATGTGTTCACTGGTCTCTAGTTTTGAGTCTTACTGAATATAATGTGATTTAAATTTATTTTTTTTTATTTTGGTTCCATTTGAAGTGAAATCGACCACACAGTGAGCACTTCTCAGTCACATTCACACCTTATGTGGACAGCTCTGGTTTAAAAAAAAAATAAATAAGGCTGAGGAGTCACAGCATCACAACAACTAAAGTTACCTTTAATTTTCATGGTAACCAGGAGAAATAATAGAATAGATTTTTATAATATTTTAACTTTGTTTAATATTTAAATCCATTTCCTTTTGAAAATAGTGTTAGTTTTACAAGTTCACAAAATTGAGTTTATCCCAGAATTTCAATCCATCAACAAGAGTTTCCCTTTGACTTCATATGAAGAGACGTGTGTCCTCTAACAGAACTCTTAGTCCTTTGCACTCATGGTTGAATGATCATTTTCATCTTTTCTTCTCATCATGTGCACAAGTCATCATTTCTGCTTTTTTTTTTTTTTTCCTTTTGCTCTCATTCTGCCTGTGAACGCCCTCTCTCCCCTCTGTCTCCTCCTCCTCCTCCTGTCTCCTCAGCGAGGGCTGTAGGCGAGAAAACACTGTGAAGAACGTCGGATGCCGAAAGTACGCGTTTAACTCGCTGCAGCTCAAGGCCTTCCCCAGACACTACCGACCGCCCGACGGCACCTTTGGCAAAGTGGAGACCTGACTGGAGGAGATCAGAGGACTGCTATGCGATCAAACTGAGTACAGTGAAGATACTGTGATGAGAGACTGTATAATTTCACCATCATGTGGCCTGGTTCCTGCTGTAGAGGTTTTAGATTAGATTATCGTGGAGGTAGACTGAGTGACTGAATGTCACACTAACAAACAGTAGCTCCGTCCTGAAAAATAAAGACGAAAAACCACCTTAGTGGAATGACTGTTTTTAGGTACTGTACACATTGCTTAGAAATGTTTTTATTTTTTATTATAGAAAAGCACTGCCTCACTTCCACTTCCAGTACTGATGTAATCGATATGAAGGATGCATAATTTCTGTTCTACAATAAAGATGAAGAATATCAGAAAATCTGCAACTGTGTTTGACTTCTTTCCAAATGAATACAAATGCAAACAAATACAAATACAAACAGACTTAGTTTTAATAAACCTATATTTGCACTTGTTAATTTCCCAATACACCGAAGATTGGGGGGGGGACAAAGTAACACCCCCTTGATTAATAATGTGACTAACCACATTTTGGAAAGCTTTCAGTTCAGTTCCATGAGCCATACTCAGATTACTGCCAGACCTGCTGAATCAATAAATCTGTTAAACGGAACCAGTCTGACAAAGTGAAACAGGCTAAAAGATCGCAAACAACAACACATCAGGCCATGATGCAAAGAAACGGCTGAGAAACAAAGCCAGTGACATCTGTCAGTTTAGGAAAGGTCACAAAGCCATTTCTGACTCCAGTGAACCACAGTGAGAGGCATACACACATAAAGAAAACTTGGGACAGTGCTGAAGCTTCCCAGGAGTGACCAGCCCACCAAAATTACTCCAAGGATGCATCGACGACTCATCCAGGAGGTCACAAAAGAACTCAGAACAACAGCTAAAGAACTGCAGGCCTCACTAGTCTCAGCTAAGGTCAGAGTTCATGTTTCAACAGTGAGACAGAGACTGGGCAAAAATGGCCTCCATGCAAGAGTTCAAGGAGAAAACCACTGCTGACCAAAAAGATCGCAAAAGCTTGTCTCAGTCTCACATTTACTAAAAACATCTTGATGATCCCCAAGAAAATATTCTGTGGACTGACGAGACAAAAACTGAACTTTCTGGAAGGTTTAAGTCCTGTTACATCTGACATCAAACTAACAGCATTTCATAAAAAGAACATCACAGCAACAGTCAAACATGGTGGTGGTAGTGTGATGGGGCTGCTTTGCTGCTTCAGGACGACTTGCTGTAACTGATGGAACCTTGAATTCTGCTCTGAAGGAGGATGTCTGACCATCAGTTTATGCTCTGAAGCTCAAGAGCACTTGGGTTATACACAGTGTTGGGTAAGTTACTTTAAATTAGTAACTTAGTTACATTACTAGCTACTTAAAAGTAACTCAGTTACTTCAAGTTACTCGTTACTTTCAAAGTAACTAGTTACTAGGGAAAGTAACTTTGGTTTTACTCAGAATTATCTTGTTAATGTGTTGCTTCCATAACTGGATACCCAGCAAGATTGCAGTCTTCTAGCTTGCTTACTTGCCACAAGTGCACTGTGCATATTTACACAAGAGAAATCCCACGCCTAGACCGTTGTTGACCACTGCCATGATTCTAGCCTACGTCACAGCGTCATGTGCGCTTTTTACATCCAACACAAAAACTGCAGTCGTGGTGCTTTCGATTGTACTCAGAACTCAGAAATTCTGCCTTCTGAATAGGAAGATGTAGGTAACACCAGGCTGCAGATGAGCTGCATACATGGCTGGACTGGGACAAAAAATCGGCCCCGGCATTTTGACTAGAGACCGGCCCACCATTATAGGAATAATCATAAAGCTTTTGAATGAAAACAAACATTGTTGTGACAGTGATGTACACTGTTCTGATGGTATATATGCTTCAATCTATCAATCGTTTGTTGTAAGACTCAGATAATTATTTTTTAAAGCTAGATATTTTAAATGAGAATAAGAAAGAAAAGTATTTCTTCGTGCCCCCCTTTCCCTGTTAATGCCCTACCTGGCCCTCCCTGGCAACACTTTGCTAGACCCGCCCCTGCACAGTTACCAGCTGTCAGCTACCTAAAAAAGGATCCTGGTGTTATTTGTCTCTCAGAAACAGTTCATAACTTCCCTTCAACTCATTCATGTCACCTAAAAGGTAAACCTGTTTCTCCATCACAGCTCTGATGATCCAGTAAGGACATCTCCTGGTTTCATCTTCATGTTTCCCTCTCACCCATAGCTGGACTGGCCATCGGGCATACCGGGCATTTGCCCGGTGGGCCGCTGGTGATTTTTTGTTTTTATGGGCCGATGGATTTTTTTTTTTTTTTTTTTTTTTTTTTTTTTTAGGAAGGGTATATATAATGAAAGGTGTTGGATTGGCCAGTTGGTCATGATCGACTCTGGGCTGGACCAATTACAGCCGAGGAGGCCGGATGCACCCGCCCCCTAGTTTAGCAATCACGTGATTTTCGCGCATTGCATGCCGGGAACTAGTGGCAAAATAATCCAAGTACCGCATCAAATGCAAGCATTTGCAGCACCGCAAAACGTTCATTCTCCGGTTCCAACACCTTCTTGTTTTTTCTTTGCCGCACAAAAAAGGAATGTACAAAACGAAGGAGAACAATGCCGGTCCGTACAAAGACAGACTCGACGAAAAGACAAAGAAAAGATACGAGGAAAAAAACTCAAAGGAGTGAAAGGGTCAGACCCTTACGAGCACACAGAGTGGACAAAAGACGTTAGCGTGCTGCCCAACTTTCACCACGCTCAGATTTATAATCATACGGTTCTTGGAGTGAGTGCATACACTCATGAAGTTCAGTAACTTCAGGTCACTGCAACAAGCCCAGGTACAGTTTACCGACGGATGGGTACAGGACCTTGAAATGCACCGTGTAGAACGAAAGACCATCGTACATATCATAAGTTTACCAGTCTCACAAATCGTCGTCATAAATACACAATCGCAAACCGTTTATTAATATAACCTTTGAGCTCAACGGTAATTAATTAGTGGAAATAATTTCTGGTAGCATCACAGAAATGTAGCAGTGACAACAATATTGTATGCTGTAATCGTACTGGGCAATTAGTGATAGAAAAAACCTGTTTTATCCTGTGAATAAAAGTATATGTTTTTGTCAGTGTACCATAATAACAGAAGCGAAACGCAATATTGTGTCAGCACAATTCACTATTTATGCACAATAAACACAATAAACAAAGGAGCATAGCGCGACAATTTCTGTTCGGCGCCAGACTTGCTTGTAACCTATATCACTAATTATGTTATGAAAATGACGCATTAACTACTACAAAACACTGACCTTTGTGGGAATGCTTGGAGCAGACTAACATGTGAGCTGGAGTGTTCTGAGACGTTATATTTGGTATATCCAGACCATCCGTCGGCTCTTACTTCGGAAACATGGCTTAAAAAATTTCTCTTCAACGACGTAATCCGATAAAAAAAACAAAAAAAAAAAACGATCTCTTTACCCGTCGGCTTCCCGTGGCTGTCATGCGACCGCCTATTGCAGTTAATAATACAACAGCTTCTTGACATTTTTTGGGTTTCTTTTTATCGCTGTGTAACTGAGTTCAATTGAAAGCCTGCGTGCGCTAGTACCTCTTGCCACAAGTTCCCAGAATCCTTTGCGGTTTTTACCCCTGAATGACGTCACATTTTCAATCTTTATCCTGGTGGGCCGGTCTAGTTAAAATGCCCGGGCCGATTTTTTGACCCAGTCCAGCCTTGCTCTCACCAGATAACCAAACTGATATCATGACCAGCAGGTTAACAGCTGTGGCTCCAGCAAACATCAGCTGATACTAGAAATTAATATTAAATAAATTCTAACAACAGCTGATCAAGCTTAAACGTGCTGCTGTTGTTTAACGCGACATCCGCTGGTTTCTTCTTTCTGGCGCAAAGTGGGCGATAAACAAACAAAAGAGAAAAGCTGATCAGCTGATCATTGATCAGTTTCATGATTGAAGTAGAAACGGGAGAGAAAGAGAGAAGAAGAGGCAGCTGTGCAGCGTAAACACAGAATAACTCCAGCTTTGTGTCTTTTTCATTGTAGCTGAAGTCCGGGACAAACTGCGTTCCTCTTCACCTCAATACGAAACGCGAAATATTTTCTCTGAAAACGAGACGATTCTGTTTTTTACAGGACGGCTGGCAACTCTAATAATTAACCTTATGAACAAAATAAAGTTCAACATCAGTAACATAGCACCACCCAGCTGTATAGAAACTCCGTCATGCTAGTACCCAGTTCGAAAAAGTCAGCATAACGAAAATAAACTCCACCTAAACTTGGTTCATATCTGACCCAGAGAGACTGCAGGTCATAACTTTTTACCTGAAGTTCAGTTCACCTGACACTTGGACCGGCGGCCGCCTCGGGTCTCTCCTCTTGCCTCCCTTTTCCTTCATCCACCTGCTGGCCTCCACCATTTGCTAATGTTATTGAATCTGTGGAAGCTCCGTGATAGCCACCACACGAAGTAACGAATAACGAGCCTATCTAAATCCCAGTAACGAGTAACGCGTTCCTGGTTTTGGCATAATAACTAGTTACCGTGCTCGTTACCACAATAATAACGTAGTTACTGTAACACGTTACTTAATAACACGCTAGTTCCTACACTGGTTATACAGCAGGACAATGATCTGAAAAGTCCACCTCAGAATGATTCAAAACCACAAAATTATGGTTTTGGAGTGGCAGAGTCAAAGTCTGGGCTTAAATTTAGATTTATCCTTTTTTTTTAATAAAACAAAAACAAAAAACCCAACTTATTTGCATATTTATTTCAAAAACTAAATACTTTTTAGTTTTTGCAAAACATCTTCCCATCACAAGGTAATGCTTAAATTCTTATCCAGCTCTGCTTTTAACATAATAAATCAGCAATATCTGTCACAGGTGGATCTAGAAGGGTGGCATGGGGTGGCATGTGCCACCCTAAAATGATCTTGTGCCACCCTAGTTTTGCATATGACAGTGTTGTTTATTAAAACAAGATAACATTGGGCCTAGCAACAGTTAACACTGAATGTAAATTCTAAAACTGAATATATTACATAGTGATACCCCCCCTCCCCCATTAACAAATGGTTCAGCCCACAGCACAGAAGCCTTATTTCTTGTTCCAGAAGGAGTGGCTACATTTTTAGATAAATAGTTGTATATAACTTTATTGTTTAGAAAAGTTGTGCAGAAATTTTCAAAATTTACAACTTATATTTGCATTTCAAGTTGTGAAAATAATTTACTAAACACGTCTGTGGATTTTACAGTTAAAATCAAAATACAACTACTACTAGGATTTTGGT